AAAACAATCCTCATGTGTACTTTGCATGGCCTCTCTGCAAACTTCTCCATAGAGAGCAAACTCATAGGTTCTTCTTGTTCCTGCTGTGATTATGCAATGCTCCAGTTTAGTAAATACAGCATTTGCCAATTGCACCGCATTAACACTCCCAGCTCAGCCCTCATCAAACCTAAAAGTTGGATATAATTCCACACTGCTGGCAAGCTTGCAGCATTTCATTGTACTGGATCATAAATGCTTTCATCAAATTACCTTTGTTCCCTCTGTAGAGAGTCCTTAGGAGAGATCACTTTAACCAAGGCCGCCTTAAATTCCATTGGTATCCGTTTTTCTTAGGAAGCATGAACCACACTGGGAATGTAAAATACCAGTGACTCCAGCTGTGTTCTCAGACTAACAGACTGCAGCCTTGGTAAGTTTTGAAACTGGAGATGTTACAGAGATTTCTTTTTTCCAGGGCTTTTAGAGTTCCAAGCAGGAGAACTGTGCAGTAATTCACACAGTCCAATGAAACCACAGTGACTTTTACAAAAAGCAGGGTCAAATGATGCTTTTATTTTTATTTATCTTAATATGAAATTTTTATCTCCTTTGTGGAGAAAAACCAGTAGGATTCAACAGAGCATGTGATAGCTGTATTTTGTGTACTTCAAAGCAAAGCAACTTTCCAGGCACCACTGCATAGCAGTCCTGCAGGAAACACAAGTTTCAGGTCCAAAGCTCCATCTCCTGAGGTCTGTGCATGAGTGGAGACCTGCAGCACTGCTCCACCAAAATTTGCCAAAAAGTCCTTAATGAAAAATACTGAGGTCTGTGACTATTCTGCTCAGGAAGTCTCTCATCACCTGACATTATGCATTTCTTCATCTACCTCCTCCATGGTCTCAGGAGTCTCTTCCTTGAAAGGAAACAGCCCTCCTAAACTTCATTTTTTGAGGAATCTGGTATTCAGTAAGGCAGTATATGTCAAAAGATTTTGCTCTAAATGGCCTGTATGTGCTGCTAATAAATTTTTCACCAGACAAATAACTATTCCAAATTATAAAGACCTTCTCTTCATTCAACTACATTTGTTTACAGTGTAGAGAGATAGTTCCCCTGTTATTTATCATCAGCTCCAAGTTACATGTCAGACAAAAGCTAACATCTGAGTCAAGTATTTGCTGGAGTTTAGGTACCTGTATGAGAATATAAACTCTGAACAGGAATATTCAGAGCCAAACAAAAACACATTTTCCCAAGGGATTTTTAAACTTTCAATGAACTATGAGTATTGATCTTACTGTGGAAATGAGTTTCTGAAAAGCTGAATTTAAGACCGAAGTCAACGTCACTATAGTCTTAATTTATCCACTTTTTACAAGCAGTATTTCAAACCACTTTTTCAGAGGAAATGACAAAGACAAAAACCACAAAAAAAAGAGGAAGAAGCAGTATGAAAGTTGAAAAAAAGAGATTACAGCTTTAGAGATAAATCTTAGTGAAATATATATGATGTGGAAATAGGATTTGCTCTCAAATGTCACTAGGAATCTCTAACCCAATAGTCCTTGTTTACATATCAAGTACAAAAAAACCCCAACAACTTTAATGCAAGCAGAGAAAATATACCTGATATACATGTTGTTTACTCTTGTATTTATTTTGCTACTTCTAAGATAAAAGCTAAAGGTCCTAAAGTTTAATGATGAAAGTTTGGTCTCAATTATAGATTTTTTTTAAATAGAGTAAAATTCAGGCAATATCAAAATGCTACTATTTCAGCACTAGATAAATGATAGATAAACACTCCTTGATAGCAATTTATCCTATAAAAATAATTTTACCCCTCCTCTGAATGCTGATGTCTGGAGACAGCAGAAGTCCAATGATTATAAATTATATCAGGATTCTGGAACATACTTTGACATATTGTAATAAAAATTACAATAACAGCCTCCCAATTCTGACTGATGACATTTGCAAAAGACTGTAACACTTTCAAGACTTTGTGGCAGCACTTCAACAGTGAGCCCTCACTTACACAACTGGACGCCTTAATTGTTTTGTGAGCTTTCAAGAGACTGTCTGTTTCACTTTACTTAATTAATGTCATACTCAGTTTGGGTACTGTAAAACACACATAGACACAAACCTCGCGTTTAAGAACATCCATCCTGGATTTTAGCATTTTTCTCATCAAAAGGGAAGTTTTGCACAGGCCCAGGGGCGGATGGATGGATGGATGGATGGATGGATGGATGGATGGATGGATGGATGGATGGATGGATGGATGGATGGATGGATGGATGGATGGATGGATGGATGGATGGATGGATGGATGGATGGATGGATGGATGGATGGATGGATGGATGGATGGAGGGATGATGCTGGAAGGGAGCCGGGCCGTGTGCGGCCGCCGCTGCGCCCTCTGGCGGGCACAGCCCCGCTCCGGCCAGCGCAGCCTCAGCCGGGCACAAAGTCCGCGCTTGGAAACCCCCAGGGGCAGCCAGGTAAGTTCCGGCATGCCTAGAAAATTATTTCACTTGGATTGGTCCGACTTGATTTTCTGCGGTAAGATAATTCTAATGAGCTGGCAAAAAAACGCCTTTGCATTTTTTTTCCCCACGTCTGCTGAAATCAGAGTGTATCCCTTTGGTAGCATCCTGAGAAATCCTCCCTGAATCCAGCTCTGCCCGGGCTTACTATGTGTTTCCATTTCTTGATACTGTTATTCCATTCATTTCAATTAAGGGTTTGTTACTGAGTATTTGACAAAAAGGTAAAAGCAGCATCCCCTTAAGAATTTGCAGCTACCGTAAATATTTATTCTTTAATTCTTTAAAGGTTTTATCTGAGCTGATCCAAAGGGATACAATAGGTGCTAAATAAAGTAAAACGTTGAAACTTCACTTGTTTCATTTTGACTCACAAAACCTGAAGTTGAATTTCTGGCTTTACATGTTTTTTTTTCTCTTCTCACTGATTGGACACACTCTATCATTGCTGGTTTTTTCCTTTCCACAAATAGCTACAGCATTACAAGCAAACAAACAAACAAGGAAATAAAACTCAGATTTTGAAAACAACCTTTCATTATTATTGTAATAACATAGTTTTTTCTTAAATCAAGAACTATGGAAAAGATGCCAAAGTTATAAATATCTAGATGTCAAAACTGACTTCAGATTGCCCATCTTGCTACTTGAAGAAAACAACTACTTGCTATATTTTCTTCAGAATGTATTAAATATCAAAATATTTGCCTGATCATAAACTCCTTCCTACTTCATAACACATTCAGGAAGACACAAGACATTATCAAATGATTTATGAATAAGCAATCCACTGGTAAACCTTCTATTTAGCACCTCCTGGTACAGAAACTGATGACTACTACAACTTAATAGCCTAAATCAGGGTTGTGTGGTGTTTATTTGCCCACTGATATATTATACTTCATTTAGTCAGCACTAATATTTTATTGGCTGCATACATTGGCTGAAAGATAATAAACTTCGTGAGTTCAGTCCACTACCACACAAGATTGCTATTCTCTTTTTCTGATATCACCACTACACTTTTTCCCCCCTTATAACTAACATTAACAAACACCAACATCTGTTGCCTACAGCCCTGAGTGTAGCAACATGGGGTTTGCAGCAGTACACGAAAACTCTCCTCCCGGCTTTTCCCTTTGGCCCCAAGTGACATGTGAGCCCCAGCAACCTGCTGAGCTACCCCGTCGTTTAGCAATTCCAAAACTCAGTGGTGGGCCCCTGCCCGGGAAACTCCTGCTCTGTCTAGCACATAATCTCACTGGACATTCAAAAAAACGACCCAGTCTCTCTTGTTCCGGTCAGTTACACAAAACTTTTCACACTTGTATCAAACCCTTAAGGAAAGGAGGAAGGGGCAGTTCTGGTGCACCAGGGAAGCTGGTAGGCATGTTCCATCTATTAATAATCTAGATGGTATTTCTACTACACAGGCACAGCTTTTGAAAATACCTGTAAGCCAGAATCTGCTGCAGAAAGGTCCCCTGACACACAAACCCCACGACCTTTCTCACTATCCGCAAATGTGCCAAGATTTCCTTTAACAGCTTTCCCCTCCACAGCACAGGAATGCAGGATACAGAAGGCTTTAGTGATCCAAAGGGAACCCCATGCTGTGGGAAACAGTGGCCCAAGAGCAAGCACTACAGGTGCTGTGTGTCACGCATTAACAGGTGTCTCCGAGAAGGACTGACAGGGGGACCCTGACACTTGACAAGCAAAGTTAGTCAACAGAGCCTCTCGCTCCTAAGGAACAGGTCCCACAGCGCCTGGGGCTTCTTCCTTTATCTTTCTCCTTCTCTCAACGCCCAGTTTCCAGGGAAGGCTGCAAGCTACTGACTTCCGCGGGGGAGGAGAGTGCCCGCTAGCTCTCCCAGGCAGGATCTGCAGGGAAACTTTGCTATCCCTCCACGGCTCGCTGCCGGGAGAGCTGGGGGCCCCCGGCGCGGGAGGGAGGGAGGGAGGACGGGCGGGGGAGGCTGTCGGGGCGCCTCTCCCGGGGACTCGGGGGGCTCCGTCCCTCCCTTCCCGGTTCTCGAGGTGAGCCCCTCACGTCTCGTACGCGGCTGGGAAGGAGACTCCGGGGACCCCGCGGAGGGGCTGGGGAGGGGAACAGCACCGGCTCCCAGTGATCGCGGGGCAGATTCATTAAAAGAGGAAAGTCCCGAATTCTCGTTAAAATAAGAAATGAAGTCATAGAGAGGTCTTTCCGGAGAAGCCAGGGTAGGGAAGGATGAGACGCCGGGACCCCGGGCCTCTCTCGGGAGGAAGGGGAGCCAGCCCCGAACGGCGTTCGCCCTCCCCGGGTACGGGCCCGTGGAGCGGCCGGCAGAGCCCACACCGCGGGGGCTGCGGAGCCGGCCCGGCCCCCGACCCCGGCCCGACCCCGCCCCGGCCGCGCTGCCCCGGGCTCGGCGGAGAACCCGGGCCGGCCCCGCCCGGCAGGTACCGGCCTCGCTTACCGCGGCTCTGCCTCGGCGTCTCCCCGCCGGCGAGCTGGCAGCGCTCGCTCAGGCACTGGAAAAGTAATAGAAATCCGGCGGCTAGTTTGCTCCTCCGCAGCCTCGCCATAGCACGGAGCCTGCCGAGACAACTCTCCGGGTGCGGGGTGCGCGCCGCTCCTCGTCGGTGCTGGGGAAGTCCGGGGGGCGGCGGAGAGCAGCCCTAGCAGGCGCCGAGCCGCCCTGTGCTCGGAGCAGCGCTCATACAGTGGGGCGGCAGGGACGAGCCGCGGGGCTGAGGGCGCTGCACCGGGTCTGAGGGGCGCTGGAAGGAGGCGGGGGGGGCTCCGTCTCCCGAACTCGCGCGGCCGCGCCGCTCTCAGTCCAGCGGCATCACCGCTAGGGAAAACAAGCCCAGCCTCGCTGCGAAGTGCCAAACTCTTCCCTCCTCGCAGTCTGCAGATAGATTTTAGGAGAGCCACTGAGATCCTCCCTTCCTGGCTTGCCCCCACCCAGCTCCCTTCCCCCGCAGGGTGAGACAGGATGCCTGAGGGAGGGAGCCTCTCCTCGGTGTACCGCTACCGACTAAACCCCTCCGAGGGAACCAGCGGGGAAACGTTCCAGCCGGAGCCAGCGGACCGGCCCCGAGTACGGGGGGAGCAGGACCCGGAGGGCGGGCGGATGCGCCGCGGGAGAGGATGCGCGGGCGGCGGGGAGGCAGGCGGGGACGGACGAACAAGTTCTCTCTCTCTCTCTTTTTCGGGGCGGTTTCCGAGGCCGGCGGCGCTGGTGCGGGGCCGAGGGCAGCGGCGTGGGGCGGGCGCTCCCCCGGCCCGCAGCGCTGCCGCCGCCCCCGCCGCGCAAGTGCGGGCAGGGGGCTCGCCTGAGGCCGGTCCCGGCCGCCGCCTCGCTCTGCCCCCCGCCCCCTCCGCAGAGCGCGGTGGGGCGCAGGCGCCGGGGCTTCCCCGGCTCTCCCGCCGCTGCCGGCGGGGCCGCGCTCCGCACGGCGGTCCCGGGAGGCGCTGCCGGGCCGGGCACCTGGCCCCGGCACGGCTCCGAGCGGGGCGGGTGGCTGCCCGGACTGAGGCAGCCTGCGCTGCTCGGCGAGGGCGGGGGGAGGACGGCGGGCGGCGCGGAGACCCCCGGGCCCGGCCGGAGCCCCGCGCTCCTCGGGACGGGGCGAGCCCGGCCCAACGCCGCCCGCTTGTTCGAAAGTTGCCGTGTAAACGTGCGTCAGTTTCGCGGATGACAACTGCAATAACGCCCAACCCCCCTGAATCCCGTTCCCCGCTCCCGCTCTCCCCCAGAATTTCCCTGTGTTTTCGGGTAAAGCAGCCTCCCTTCACACACACCCACACCCCTCCACCCCCTCCCTTTTATTTTCTATTTATTTTCGCAAACCAAGGAGTTGTTTAAGTACACTCATCACTTCAAAAGTGCAATGACTGGGAGGGTTCTCCCCTTCCAAAAAAATTTATCTTCATGCTTGATTAAACGCACCGTGAATAATCCCATCCCCTCCATTAATCTGTGAACGACGGCTCGGAGACAGAAGCGAGCAGAGGGCACATCAATCAAACCCAGACAAGCGAAAGGGACACCCGGGACCGGGCGGCGGCTTTTTACCAGTTCAGCAAACTGTGGAGCTGGTAATCAGCTGAGCAACATGTTGAGAACCATGAATGCACCAGCCTCTCAGCACTTGCTACTAAATAATTAAATTAATTAGGGCGACAATTAAATTAATCAAATAAATAGGTCTATGGAATGTCAAACATAGCAGATAACTAATAGTTAATCACAAAAGAACAACCAGTAACAAGACCGTGTTTTTCTTTAATTTACTGCTGCTCCTGAGATTAAGAATTCATCAGGTCCATTGTAAGTGTCTTGCTCTTTAATCATTGATCTGTTTATGTGTAAATCAAAGCATAATATCCGTGGGTTTAAGAAGTATATTTGAAGTATAAGCAGAAATTTTCTCAATGTTTTCAATGTATATTAAAATATGATACTGGAGGGTATTATCAATAAGGTTTATATTTGAGTTTATAGTGGGCCTTTCTAGTTTCAAGCTTCTTGCACATACCCTTAAATAAAACAAAAGCCATCCAAGTATTGCTAAAAATAACTGCAGAAAATATATTCTATATTGTTCGTATAAGAGAAAATACTGGAGATTTTATGCATCAGGAATTAAATCCTAGCCTTGCTGAAATCTGTGGGGATTCAGGGAGTGTTACTACCTTGTATACCAGGTGATCTGGATTATGCCACAGAATTTTTGTGCAGATTTGGTCAAGTTAGTATTAAAGCTATTGCTGCTTCTTAAAATGTAAGATAGAGGTTTCTTCATGCTATTGGAATACATTTTCCTTGACAGTTGATCAGGTTGCTCAGATCACCCAAAGTATTGCTGAAGTTGCTGAGCGGATTGTTAAGCTTTTGGCCTTTACTAGAAAGGGTAGGGAGATAGTCTTAAAGAAGGGCTGACCACTCTTTCTGCTGTTTTTCAGCAAAACTATTAGCTGAGAATAAGAACAATAAAGTCTGTTCTCATCTTCTTTTATCCTTTTTTAAAAATAATAATAAAGATGAGATTATTGTAAAGTTATAGTAAATCTTAAAATACAAAAGATTTGAATGATTTGAGAAAAAAGTTTACATGTTGCTAAATAAGTAATAATTTGTCAAGCCCCTTATGTATAATATAGAAAAGTCTAAATGAAGACAAAATTTTTTTTTATTTTGTTATTTCCTTCTTATTCCTATAGTTTCAGATTTAAATTCTTCATAGATACACTACAAAAACTGCATGCTGAAGAAAGGGAAGGATTAGCAAGAGACAGCTGAAGTGTGCAGTTGCAGATAAAAGTGTCAGCAACATACTAGGTCCCACAGTCCTAATTTTCTGTGTTCTGTGTAGTTGTGGGACAGTTTTGCAATGTGCCTGCTGCAAGGTTAGCACAGAATCACAGTATTCAATACCTCTTTTTCTCCACAGAAAAAAACAAACTGCATCCTCCAAAGAAGGCTGTATCCATTGTGCTTCTTGTGCTACAAAACAGAATAAGAACATAGCTTACCTTGGTATAATTTTGTGTAAAAGTACAGGCAAGCCTTTTTATTGCACTGAGAAAAAGCCTGAGATGAAAGTTAATAATCAATCTTATAGTGATTAATGACAACATGTCATTGCTAGAAAGGCATTCATAACACAAAAGTTTATGCATTTGTTGTTACTTATAAAGCATAAGTAAAACTGAAAGAACAACTTCTTGAAGGTATCTCAGGTGATGAGCTGTTTTTACTTGGAACACAGTGCCTGTGATAAGTATTCATTACTCTTATGTGCTTTTACCATCACCTTGGTTGCACATTATCTCACCTCTCTGAGGTATATATCTTACAGTGGCATGAACTGTGCAGTGGTTCCATAGAAATCAATGAGAACATTTCCACTTTCACCAGTCAAGAATATGGTGTTATAATTTTTCTTCCTGTGTAACCCATCCCTATTTATAAGATCAATCACTCAGGAAAAAAGGATGGGAACATTCTCTCTGTTCATTGTGTTCTACTGTCATACTGCTTGCAAGTGCCTGCTCTCACTTACATCCTTATTGCATTACTGATTCTGAAAAAACAGAGTTTTTAACATTTCTTTGTCTATTTTAACATGTTCCCAGCTATTCTGCTTTGATAGATATAAGAGAGGCACTTCTCAACTGCACTCCAGTGCTAGCCTGGATCAATAACTGCTTTTGCATTTGAGGAGTCAGGGGAGGATATCTCTCCTTAATTCGGGAAAAAGAAACTGGTAGAAATAGTTGCAGCATTCCTGAGAGAGAGGAGAATATATCTGTATTCTCTTCCAAGAAGAAAAAAAAGAGTTTTCCTGTTTGGTGAACTTGCATTTGCTGTTATTCTGCAGGGGATTGTGTCTGCATATTAAGAGACAGACTACAACCACCGGTATTTTCTGCTGTAACTGAGTGATGTCTATCAAATAACCTACTTTCCCAACTGCAGAGAGAAAAAGATCTAGGTAATTAATTTTGGAGCCATAAATACTCCTGATCTGCCAGGAGAAGTCCCCACAGGGACAAAATGGATTATGGGACCCTTATGGAGCAGATAGTCCACAGGTTGATGTTATGAGTATCACACATTGAAGCTGCACATGGCCTTTAATCCCGGGGGGCGGTTTGCCACTGAGATTCACCTCCCTCCCTTTGGAGCTCTGTGCTGGTTAGGGCTCAAGAAGGTGATTTGTGTAGCTATTGGGAATTTGGCTGAGGCATTAGGCTTAGTATTGTCAAAAGGAGGTGTTAGAGCTGTGAACTTCGAGTGCTGCCCAGCTGGCAGCCGCCTTTGATTTTGCCAGTTCAAAGGAGAAGCACAGCATTTTAGTTGAATCACTAAAGGGCACTGCAAAACTCAGATGTTAAGCATGAGGCAGAGAGGCAGTTTCCTTGTTAAATAGGGAAATACAGCAACTTTTCAGAGAAGCTGCACTTTTAAACAAGCCTTTGCTTCTTTCCCTTTTCCTCTGGCTTGAAGAGCCTCAAGTCTCATCACTCAGCTTTATTTTCTGGGAAAAGCCCCGAGGTTCCCTTTCTGGTTAAGTCACATCCAGTAGGCTTCTGCTAGATCCCCTGTAACTCTCTGCGAGGTGCTGTATGCAAATACATGAGTTTGCATAATTGTGCCTAATTAGAATCTGTCCATAGTGTGGCTCTAAGAGCTGTGTGGTTGATGCCAGTTCAGCTTTGTTCAGCAGAGCTTTCTGCTTATCTCTAGGACAGCAGGACTGCAAACCTCCCACATGCACTGCCTTTGGCCTGTGCCACGATGCATGGTTAGGGAGAGTTTCTTTTTGGGGTAAAGAGAGTTCAGATTCATGGAGTGGTAGACACTTTGTGATGTGGAAAGCAGAACTCTGTCTCATTATCTCACACTCTGATAAAGTGGTTCACTGGAAATTTGAGGAGGGGAAAAATTAAAGAGGAACATTTCAGCAAGCAAGGCAGCATGAAAAAATAATAGAGTTTGAGGTAAAACAAAAAGTTTAGTTCAAAACAGTTTTGATATTTATTTGAACTCTGAAACAATTTTAAAAGAATGGAATCAGTTTTGAAATGGAACATACTTCCAGAATGAGAAACCAAAAACTTCCAGCTAAAGATCAATTACTTGAACTCAAAATGCTTCAATGTTATTCTTTCAATGAGTCTGCCTTTGCAACAACACTGACACAGGCAAATGCTGCACCAAGCAATGCCTTCGCCTGCTTGTGATCAGGAACTATGAGGATGTTACTCAAC